TTAACAGTTACACTTAAAGTGACACTCTGGGCTGCTGTTAAATTTACTTATGCAGTAGGGTCCCTCCAGGCACTGCATGGGTTAAATGTTTGTTTGGGTACAGGGAAAGAATAAGTACAAATGCCTTATTTCTCTCTCCCCTGGCCCCAGGCACTGTCTTACGCTGTCCGCCATTACTTAATTTTAGGTGGGCCCTCGTCCTCATGTACAATGCAGGACTGCTGCTCCCGTATTGTACCTGATGATATCAGAAATCTGCAACTGGCTGCCCTGTACACAAGGTGAAAATGGTGCAGAGACTTCACTGCAGAAAGACAAGCCTTATCGTCTTTTTATGAAAAGTGGAAAACCAACTGATCTACTGACATGATCAAAAGTTATCTACTTGCCAATTGCCCATGTACTTATACTGTGCGGTGGGGGCTCTTCTGTGCCAGATTACCTACATTTCCTGGTAGGGGGGCGTGCTCCCGTCACCCTGGCTGTGCTGTCATTCGCTACAGCACAAGCCAATCAGCGGGCCCCAGCCAATGATTTATGGCTTGGACCAGCTGACCGGCCAAGTGAATGACAGAAGAGAGCCCTGTGTTGGTAAACAACACAGGGCTCTCTACCAGTGTGAGTGATGTGGTTGCTTTTTTTCTCCCTGCAAAGCAGGGAATAAAAACAGTCACATCCATTAGTAAAAACAGCTCACTTTACACATTGATAGACACACAGTTAACCATTTGATTGCCCTCTAGATGTTAGCCCCTTCCCAGTCAGTGTAATTAGTACAGTGACAGTATATATTAACACTGATCACTGTATTAGTGTCACTGGTGATGTCAGTGTCACTTACCCAGTTCCCACAAAGTGTCAGTTAGTGTCAGATTGCCCTCCTCTCTATCACAGTCCCACTATAAGTCGTTCATCACTTCGATTACTAGTATAAAAATAAATAAATAGAAATTCCAGTATATACAATCATTTGTAGACGCTATAACTTTCACAAAAAACTATTAATATACACTTATTTTTTTTTACTAAAGACATGTAGCAGAATACATTTTGGCCTAAATTTATGAAGAAGTTTTATTTTTTTAATTTTTTTTTATTGGATATGTTTTATAGCAGAAAGTAAAACATATTGTTTTTTCCCCCAAAATGTTAAATCTTTGTTTGTTTATCTAATAGCAAATAAAAACCCAGTGGTGATCAAATACCACCAAAATAAATCTCTCTATTTGTGTGAAAAAAATGATACAAATTACAGTTGGGTATACCATTGCATGACTGCGCAATTGCCAGTTAAAATAGCAAAAAATAGGCTGGTCATGAAGAGGTAAAATCTTGCGGAGCTTAAAGCGGAGTTCTACCCAAAAGGGGAAGTTCCGCTTTAATGCCTTGTCCCCCGCATCCCATTAAAGATTGGCACCTTTGGGGAGCGGGTACCCAAATTTGACAGGCAATCGGAAGCGGCAGTTGTCCTCCCTCCTTCCCTCCCTCCCTCCCTCCCTCCCATAGTCTTCTGGGACATGTGACAGGTCCCAGAAGACTACGGGGCCATTCACAAAGCAAAGGGCTTTTGACACAGTGGGCACCCAGCTGTGAAGCCGCAAGCTGCCACAGTTGGTTGCCCACATTAAAGATGCCGGCGCCAGGGAGAGAAGACAGCCGGTGAAACCAGTGGTTGTGAGGACACCGCTGGACCGAGGGACAGGTAAGTGACTGTATTTTAAAAGTCAGCAACTACAGTTTTTATAGCTGCTGACTTTTTTTTTCAGCTGGAACTTTGTTTTAAGCGCTAATACAATTACGTTATGGGGGTACGCAGAAAAAAAAAACAAAATCTGCCTTAGAGACTGCATCATATATGCAATTTTTGCTTTTGCCCACAATTTCACTTCCACTTGCTGGGATAAAGTAAAATAAACCCTCCAATTCTTTGCAGCCAAGGAAGCTGCCATCTAAGCTCTGTTTGATCTGAAGTTGCCATGGTGCTGCTCATCAGTTAAGACACCAGCCATTTAATGGCTTGACAGTCCGGTTGAGAGCACAAGCAACTGTGACAATTATCATTCATAGTATATCTTGAATATAACGGTTTTGGGAAGCAGTTAAATTGATGGACTTAGTTCAGCTTTATCTAAGGATAAGGATTTGGCAATACAGTGACAGTTGCAGCAACAGTTTTTCTCTTACTTACTGAATATAAGAGATGACAGTTGGAAGCATCCAGCCAGTGTTACAAAAACATACATAAAAGTAAAACCAATTATGGTTACAGAAATATATACTTTTTTTCATGATAAAGAACCAGTCTGAGGAGTTTTTGGACCACTATTTTTGGCAGCATGACAAATGAACCTATCATACTATACGTTGAATAATACAATATCAGAATCTGTAAAGTCAGCAGCAGATAAGTGATTCAGAAGCGCTCAATTACCCATAGTTTGCTGCAGAATGACAACCACTAACACTGATCTGAAAGGTTTTGTATGATGTCATCGAGTCCACGTGGCTCTGACCACAACTATCTTCACTAGACAGTTTCTTCCAGGCTTTCTGCCACCAAAGCAATGCACAATGTTATCTATGTTATCACCAAGCAACATCCATTGAGATCATTTATTCTGGGGTCAATAAGACCAGGAACACAAAATGCTTCACAAAGAGAAGCAATTAATAACCTTGATAAATATGTATCTGAGTCCTTATACACTAGCAGAACTTCATCCATTTCACATTATATTAACAGATGCTGTCCATCAAGTGTAACCCATCGTTTCATATTGTCAGCCATTTCAGGCTACGTAGAAGGGGATTACATAGTCACTGCAATGTCCTTCAGTGCGATTACTAGACAGGATGTCAGCTGTATGTGACATACCTTGTTCTCGGCTGCAGGACACGCAATCCTTTCCTAAAAAAAGTTACTAATGATTCATCCTTTTGGAGAAGCAGCACATGTCACTTGGTGTTTATTACTTGCATGCATATTTGTATTTATTTTCTGTGATTAGCCTTTTTAAAATTGAACCATCTAAAATAAAATGTCATGTAATTCAGTTAGACTAACATGAAAATGTCATCCCTATTCTATACCTTTTACTGGTTTCAGTTTGGTTTACACCCCGGTCACATCAAGAGCAATTTTGAAATTGTGCAACTTACAGTGAAGTCGCGCAATTTAAAAGTCAGGGGACATGCTGATTTCAGGTGCGATTTGCAAGACATCTGACACAGATGTCTATGCAAATCACACCAAAAGTAATGCATAGACCTTTGTCTTTTTTCAGCCAGACTAACTATGTAACTATGTACTACTTTAGAAATCGGTACGGCTCCGACCAAGTCGGAACCGCACCAATATGACCGCTGTAATTATGGACAATAGGGTGCGACTTGGCATGTGATTTGCAAGTCGAATGGCATGCAAATTGCATGCTAAGTTGCACCCAGTGAGACCGAGGTCTTATGCAGGCCATAAATCGTCCGATTTTCGCACCATTAGTGGGTTAATTGGTCGTCTGTTTTTTGGGGTTTTGGCACATTTTTTTTATCGGTAGAGTTGGAAAAAAAAATCAGCCGATTTTCCCGGCAATGATGAGCAAATCAGCTGATCGTTTTACCGATAAAAATTCTGCGCATGAGCCGTAACCTGCAAGAAGAAGAAAAAGAAGAAGAAAAAGAAGATGAAAAAGAAGAATAAGAAAAAGAAGAATAAGAAAAAGAAGTAAAAGAAGAAGAATTCCGGTCCGCTATTATATTTCATATGAAAAGTATTGCGGTTGCAACAATGCATCTATTTGTATCCGAATAAAAACATCTGTATCCGAAATGGATACAAATGGATACATTGTTGCAACCGCAATTCATGTCAAATATAATAGTGGAGCTCTCTGCAAGGGACAGAAGTAATTAAATGCCAGCCGTAGACAGGACGAAAATCGGCCGTTTTTTTTTTTTACCATTGGTGGTAACGTCGGCCTATTGAACGACCAATTTTTTGTTTTTCGACCCATCTATGGCCTGCAATAGGAATTGGCCCTGTACTATCATGCTATAGTCAGATAGCTTGGCACTGCTGTGGGGGAAGGATTTAGGAAAACAGTAATACCCACTACATGGGCTATAACTATATGGCCTGCCACACCCACATCAAGCATAGTTGGATTCTTTGCAGTGCCATTCATTTTGCAATGCACTTGTGTTGTTGATGTGAACCATCTGTGCATTGTGGTGCACTGTGTCAAAAAGATCCGGTTTTAGCATGCTGTAGAGGTTTGGTAGCCCATTCAAAATTGGGACATTTGCTAATATACCACAATGTACATTACAGCCGATACATTTTACTACTTTAGACTCTGTTAGTTCTAGTAAATTAAATTTTAACTGATGAAAATCACATACACATACAGTGGCGCCTTTCATGAACTTCAGTCCAGCCAGTTTTCTGTCCACTTTTATCCTTTTATTCGAAAGTAACATTCTAAAATCACACAAAAGCTTACCTTTGTATGGGGCTTTCAGTATCACCATGGGGATTTCAGCATTCAATGACAAACAGAAATTTTCCAGCCTCCTGTCTATCTAGGCTGTGTTGTCCCTGGGTCTGTCTCGCCATGGTATCTCATTCATCGTGTGCCCAATTTTGGGTTGCACAGGCTCCTGCCTAATTATTCAGTGGGGTTGATTAAGTCCTCATGCACACTGGGTTTTTACAGCGGCTGTTTTTGGCTTTTGATGGTTTTTTTCTACAGCTAGTAAACCCCCCAGCATGTTATCCATGTTTTAGTAAATCAACCCCATTATTTCTCTCACGTTTCTAGAGCAGGAAAGTTAGAATCTGACTGCTTGCTATTCTTCCAAATATGTCTACTCAGGGAGTCAGTTTTGCATGCTACTACATGCCAGTATCTGTTGGCTGATACAAATAATGGAATACTGACACACTGACACAAGCCTATTCGAGTGAACATTAAACTGTTACTAAATCCAGGAACCAGTATTCACTATATCTGGTCTCCTACAGTATGCACAACATGGATATGCAATTATTTTAGTAAATATAAACTGCTAAATACCTTTTCTCATCAGCAGCATATAGCAGTCTTGTGATTTCTATCAGTGTCTGGCAGAGCACTGGTTAAAGCTTGTAGGAGGAGTTTTCATTCTGCTCTGGCTGTCCTATGAGGCTGCATAACCCGATCCTCTGTGTGGACAGCGCTGATTGGCTCTGTATTAATCACATGCTCCCTCCCAAAACAAAAAAAAAAAACTCTCTAGACATAAACAATAAATTGAGCATGTGCAGAGTGACTCCTAGAGCCCAGTACTATCAGCAGATGGATTGGGGACAGTAGAAGAAGGGGTGGATCAAAGAGGACAGGATCAAATTACCTTTTTACACAATGCAGAGGATTAACCCCTTAGGTTCCACAGTGAGTATAACAAGCATGCTTTACTGCATTTTTACTGTTGTGGTGTTAGTACCACCTTAGCATAACATCATTTACTGAAGGTAGAGAAGACAAACAGCCAAGAGGCGGCTTATGAAACATTACTGCCATTCAACAGTAATTCAAACATTGCAGATTATGAAAAATGATAATACAGAGCTGATTCTTCTGGTGTTTGTAGGGTTAAGACTTTCTAAAAGAGCTATGTTTAATTTATGGCTGCAACTTGCTACATCCAACCAGCCAACAGCTTCAGATAAATTCTGCTGCATTCAATTAGTTAACTGAATGCAGCAATATTTTTAGAAGCCAACAACTAGCAGACTGCGGTGCAGAACAATTTTAAGGACTTGTAGTTCAGAAGTTCCTAAAACCTGCCAGTACATTTTCCTCATGATATCAATTGTACACTTTAAAACATTACAGGTCTTTTTTCTCTTCCATTTATAGCCTGCTTGGAAAATGCTGTAATCAGAATTGTGGTGCATATATTGCACAGATTTACAGTGGCAAGCTGGGTATATTTGCCGTGGGAAATACCCAAAGACTGTGGTCTAAACTATATTTTTGATTGTTAGTAGTATGATTTTTGTGAAAAAAATCTCCTGACTAGTAGCCTGAAAAACATAGAAAATAATGGATCAATCCATGGATCAATCCATGGATCAATCTCAGTGCCCATAGCTCCTCTTCAGGGCTTTGTCACAATTTTTCAGATATTGTTATGAACAGACTTGGATTTTAATTCCCTCAACCAACTTTCACCCACCCCATTAGTATCATACAAAAAAGAACAGACATGATAAAGAAAAGCTGAAATAGAAGTACTCTGGGACAGTGAAACTATTGTTGGTATGGCAAATGTTTGGAGCACAGAAACCGTTCATTTTTAGATGCATCGAATAAACAGTTAAACTTGAAGGGTTTGAAATAAAAGATGTGACTACTGTGGCAATTATACAAAAAAATCCCAACTGTGGCTTTTCCCACAAAAAGTCTCATAATCTACACCACATAAATAATGGTACAAAATGAGTTTGTCAGTATTTGGCGCAATAGAAGTGTGTAGCATTGTGCCACAGTGATGAAACACAATCAAAAAGGGAAATTCACAGGGCTGGCTGGCGCTTCCACCAGGCAAACCAAGCAGCAGCCTAGGATGCACTGCCACCTAGGGGTGCCAAGGCCAGCACTTTCTTTGTGTGGGACTCCGCCACATCATGAATGATCCATCAGTTCATGGGAGGGTCAGCAGAGGGGAGGAAGAAAGGACAGAGGAAGATGTCAGGTGTCTGGGGCCAGTGTAGCAGCTGACTGCTGCTCCTTCCAGTGTTCCTCTCAGATTCAGTCTCTTACTGCAAGCCAGCTGGCGGCTGCTGATCACTGTGGAGTTCCAGCCCTTCTCTTCCCATTCATCAGCGAAGGCGGAGCTGCGCCTGCGGAGAAAGATAATGTCTGACTCTGATGTCTTGTGTCTGCTTGAGTGTGACCCGGCCAGCCATCCATCACATGTGCAATGTGTTAGTGAGTGATGACATCATCACAATCCCACAGCCTGCTCTCCTAGTGCCTGCTGATCTGTGTCAGTGTTGGTAGTGTGTTGTGTTGGATCTGTCACTGTGTGGGATCGCTCAGTTCAGGTGTTCTCTGTGTGTGTGTGTATGGGCTAGGGCTGCCTGCTGTCACTGTGTTTTATCTCCCCCCCCCCATTGCCTGAGGAATTCCAGCCTAGTATCTGTCAGAGCGTGGATCCATCATCCTACACTCACTGCAACTGTCGCCCCGCCACTGCCAGCCACAGATACAGTCCATCTGTGACACTGATTTTGTCTTTAATATTGATGCTGGTGGCATCCTATGGCACTTATTTTTGCAAATTAAAAGAAATTTAGCAGTTTCATGATTTGTTGATGTAATATTTTCCAGTTCTTTTTTTTTTAATTATTTATATATTTGTTTTTTTTGAGGGGGGTAGAAGAGTGCAAGTAGCTGGTCTTGTCTAGGTTGCAAAATAGTCTTGCACTGGCCTTGGACATTCATCATTGTTTCTTTGGAGGGAAACAGACTAGTGCTTAACTTCTTGGCACCGGCGCCTCACAGCCCTTTAAGAGTTTCAGAAGCCAGGAGGAGGCGGGGTGGGGTTTTAGGGACATCTGACCACCGTGATTCGCTGTCGTGGCAGTCACCTGATCGGAAAAGGTCCCGATCGAAAGGGGAGATCGGGACCTCTCCTGGAGTCGCGCAAATATGTTCTGGGAGCGCGCAGGGCGCACGCTCTTAGAACATACATATTTTCTAATTGCACACAAATATACGGCCGCTCTGCATCAAGGCCCAGAGAGGCCGCATATTTGCATGCAATCAGTGTCAAGGGGTTAAGAGAGGTTGCCACAGGACATTCCGCTGCATGGTCATATTGAAGAATGCAGCACAAGTCTTGGTGCTCAATTGTTCCAATCCTTGTCTTCAAGAAGATGATGGCACAAGACAGTTATACATTCTACTATGTGCCAGATAAACCATATGTGCTGTGACAGAATAAATTATTTGAAATGTGATGCACCAAAAAAGAATCTGGCCCTCTTTGTCACTACATCTAGAACTTTAGAAGAGAAGGAAAAACTGTTGCATTCCTTTGTTAGCAGTTCATTTCTAGTTGTACAAACCCAGAGTGGGTGAAATGAGCTCACACTGTACTGTATACTATACCATCAGCGGAACCATGATGCATGAGAATGTGATGCTGGCAATACACAACATGATGCATGGGGGAAAGTGGGAAACCTTTGGCAGCCCTGTCACCCTAGGCCCTGGCCTACGTTGGCTATATACTGTAGGTATGTGGCCCTGGCTACAAATAATGTTGTGATCTTTAATTGCTGAGGCTGCTGAATGACATAGGTGACTATTATTCTACAGATTGTTAAGTGATTTATACATGTCTCCTTGATCTCTGCAGGCACCATTGATTGTGGGATAGAAAAATTTAAATCCCTGCCAAAATATAATGCTCTACTGCATTTCAGCTGCCTCTCTGTTCCTATATGGGCGATTTCCCCTCACAGAGGAAGAAATGTGGGAACACCAACCTTTGCATACTTTGTTTTTTTTCTTAGTAAAGTAGCAATCAGTGAAGATAACCTCATGAAAAATCAAGAAAAAAAATCTCTTTACGCCATGAATCTAATTAATTATTGTGCTTTATTCTTTTTTATTGCATACCTGGCAATAGTTTGGTCCTTTCCCTTTAGTCCTCATCTGGAGTCCAGGACTGTGAAGCCTACAATTCTGAGTTAACTGATGGCACAGTTTGCAGTTAGGCTACTAAATACTGAAACATGTCAATGTATTAATGTCTCAGTCAGTCATTGCCTCCCTGGGACCTCAGAAGGGCACATTTCAGTGTGCTGAACCACCAACCTCCATGGTCAGATTGCTGTTGGGAGTTAGGTATTGGAAAACATCTATGACTGCTTGGCAATCGTTCTTTTTTCTCCATACACAAAGAAATGATGACCAGTAGAACGCTCATAAACTGCAATATTAGACCATGCAAAGCTGTAGGGAGAAATGTGTTCAAATGTGTTCTCAAACCCACCATTGTAATTGGTAATTAGGGAACCAGTGGCAATGTTTCAGAGAAAAACAGCAAATGAAGAAAAAAAAAATCCCCAGGGTTACAAAGAATTCAAAATAATGGATTGAAGACTAATTGGTGCTGCACTATCTCTAGGTGATAAATGAACTCCTGTAATGTTAATACCCCACACAGTGCACAAACTTGTAAATAAATATACCGTATTTTTCGCCGTATAAGACGCACCTGACCATAAGACGCACCTAGGTTTTAGATGCAGAAAACAGGAAAAAGAAAATTCTGAACTAATGGACTGCAGACACAGTACAGGAGATGACCAGAGACTGCAGACACAGTACAGGAGATGACCAGAGACTGTGGACAGCACAGGGATGACCAGAGACTGTGGACAGCACAGGGATGACCAGAGACTGCGGACAGCACAGGGATGACCAGAGACTGCGGACAGCACAGGGATGACCAGAGACTGCGGACAGCACAGGGATGACCAGAGACTGCGGACAGTACAGATGACTGCTGACCTTTGGGGAGGTGGGGAGCGGGTACCTGAATTTGACAGGTACCCGCTCTTACTTCCGCAGAGTTTTTGTTTGATCTTTCCTGTTCCTCGATCCAGCCGCGCGCTGTCTTCCCGGCTTCTGTAATGGCGCTCGGCATGACAGCCGGGTGCCCAGTGCGCATGAGCGAGAAGCACTTGCGCTTTGTGATTGGTCCGGCGGCTTCTGGGATCTGTCATGTGTCCCAGGTACCGCCTTACCATTCACAAAAAGCACTGCTTCTTGCGCATGCGCACTTGGCACCCGGCTGTCATGCCCAGTGCCCACACTACAGAAGCCGGGAAGACAGCACGCCCCTGGATAGAGGAACAGGTAAGGTCCCGCTGCAGAGCTGAGCGGCCGGCCTGGTATTCTGACATGGCCGCGGTGGAAATACCGGACCGGCAGCTCCATATTTCGCTCCATAAGACGC